GGTAGATGCTCATAGTAAAGCAGATATACTTTTGTAAAAGGGGCGTGGTTTATCCTATAGATATGAAATTTTTAATCAACCACAACTACGGAATCATACGTCACATGAATTTTGAAATTTCGTATGAAGATATTCCATGGTAGACACTTATAGTAGGGTATATATTAGAGTGGCCTTTATGTTGTAAGAAAAATTTGAAAAAAATTTGAAATGCATGAATCCAAAAGTTTTCGCACAGACTAATGTAAGGTTGAGGATATAAATAAATCAGGAACCGTAACGGTTATAACTTTTATTATAAAAATCACTTTTTAATCGTTATTAATTGAGTTTTATTTTTTGCTCAAAACATAACGATTATTTTTTGAGCTTTATTTTTTACTCAGAAAATAATCGTTATGTTTTGAGCTTTATTATTTGCTCGGAAAATAATCGTTACGTTTCAAGTTTTATTTTTTGCTCGGAAAATAAGGGTTACGTTTCAAGTTTTTTTTTTTTTATCGGAAAATAATCGTTACGTTTTGAGTTTTATTTTTTGCTCGGAAAATAATGGTTAGGTTTTAAGTTTTATTTTTTACTCGGAAAATAATCGTTACGTTTTAAGTTTTATTTTTTGCTCGGAAAATAATCGTTATTTCTTGATTTTTATTTTTTGCTCAGAAAATAAAACTAAATTTTTGCGTATGCGTATGCACATACGTGAACAGACAGGGGGCGGCTACATTGAAATTTTAACGCCACTGTGGAGTGGGTAATGAAAATACAGAGAGCAAGATACCAGGGCGAAAACAAATACAAGGGTAACGACAAAACCACAGACAACCACAACCTATTGAAGGATCAAGCCAATGATAAAGATGAAGAACAGGACAAAGTTAAAGATAAATAAAAAGACAAGGATAAAGATGAAGATCAAGATGAAGACAAAGATGAAGATGAATAAGGTGATGAAGATGAAGATGAAGATAAAGATGAAGATGTTCAGCTTCATCTTCATGTTCATTTTCATCTTCATCTTCATCTTCATCTTCATCTTCATCTTCATCTTCAT